TTCAAAAAATGAATAATTATTAATAGTTTGTATGTACAATATGCAAAGAAATATCACACATATCATTACAATTCAATATTCAAATATTTTACAGTTAATTGATGAACTGGTTGATCCCTATTAATACCAATTTTGGTCAGACTCAAAGGTGGTCTTAATAGGGAGAGTCTACTGTGCATATATTCTGTGTTGTGTATCATGAAATATTATGTGCATTTTCCAAAATGGTCTACCTCCTCTTGCCCTTGATTTGCCCTCTAAGCATTGCTAAAATTTTTCAACGGCACACCAGTCTTTTATACCTCTTCATTTTTGCACTCTTGTAGCAACATGTGCTGATCATGTGACTACCCTCCACCAATCATACTGCACAACCTCTACTCATTTTCTCGATTGGCATTCTAGTGTATGAACATGTATTTTATCCCATTCCCCATGTAACTACAAGATTTTGATTGTGCTTAATCATAACTTTATATCAGTTTCAACTTCAGCTTTTGACTTCTTTTACAACTCCAAGAAAGAGGAACTTCTGAACAAAGCAGTTTATTGGAAAAAAAAAAATATATATGTTACAATATAATCTGTGACTCAGATTCATAGTTTTCAGAAGCAGTATGTGATATGCTAAAATACAGAAACAACTTATATCCACAACTACATACTGAACTTATGGAACAGAAATTCTGTATATATATATATATATATTATATGATAATTACTTACTTTGAAGTAAGAGTCAATAACTACTCAAGAATATATTGTACAACTTCCAAAAGCAACAGTTTACTACACTTTAGCTTCAAGAAGTTCTTGGAGCAGGGAGCAAGTTGGATATCTTTTTGCATGTGCTTTTTGCTTTTGAGAGTATCATGTCACAGTGTTACGTAAACAAACTAGTGATACAAGCGGCAATTTATTGCTTTATTTTTAGTGGGTTTCTACTTTAGTCGTTGACAGTAAAATAAATACAGAAAATATATCTGTGAAATGTTTAGCAGTTGAAACCCTCAAGAGAAGTGCTTTGAATATTTATGATCAATGAGGAAGAAAAATGGACACAGCTGCTCATTTTATTTCTGATTTTATAAGTTTTCTTTTCACTATATCACTGAGGTAAAACTAACAACAGATAAAATTTTACTGAAAAAGAAGTTTTATATGTATTTAAAAGGTTTTAGAGATTACACAAATGAAATTTGAGATTTTTGAGATAAAGAAAAGTAATTTTAATCTTAACATATCAATCCCTTTGCACTTAGACTAGTAAAAAAAAAAAGATTTGATGTATTCATGGACAAATCTTCACTAAAAATCAGATTTTTCATGTACAAAAGACTTGTAATGTTTACTAAAAGCCTGACAAATTTTCTGAACATACATATACTGTATTAAAAGTTATAGTATGGAAATTATAACAAGTACAAAATGGTTATGAAGTTGGTCAGTTCAACAGAGCCTGCGTGGAGAGAGAGTTGATTGATTAAATGACTAGTACAGTGTTTCTCAAATCATGGTATGCACAAGCAAAAAAAAATTTAAGTTTGTTGGTGGCAGATACTGACAAACAGTATCAAACCCAAGACCTTCAGTTCATGAGCTCCTCCCCCATAATTATGTAACTTTGCACTTAACAACAAACAAACATTATATAAATATTTTAATTACTTGGATAGTTGGAATAAACTAAAAGAGTAAATAAATCAGAAACCTTATTTTTGATTAGTTGATTATTTTCTTGTCATTTTATTTAATTATAATTTTGAATTACTGATTTATTCTTGGAATAAATGAAAATGGTGGTAATCAGAAACACTGATTTTGATTAACTGGTAAGTTCACATTTCAGTTAGTGATGTGATTGCTGCTAATGGGTAATCAGTTATATCAATTCATCTATTAAATCACCCACATCTATCTGTACTACAATAATATTCAACCAGTTTCCATAGTACATATTTTAAAAAGATTATGTTAGTGTAGAATAAATTATGTGGATATAAGGTTGAATTTAAAGTTCAAGACAGTGTTTTGTAAAGTGTGCACAGGATGTTGAGTTTAGAAGTAGAAGTATTTTTTATTGTTTTAAATATCAATATTTAAATAATCAGATGTAATTTTGTTATATTGATTTTAAATTTTATATCAAGATGTAAATGGACTGCAAACATTTTTATGAAAGAAAAAAAAAGTTTTGTAAATGTTGCATAAATGGTATGAATGTCTTTAACCAGTTATTTCCTAGCTTTTAGATGTGATGTAAAATACTAAAAATATATGCATAAAAGTACATGTTGATGAAACCCAACATGATAATTCACCATATATACATGCAAGTAAAAATCCAGCTTGGAAATAAAATTAAAGAAAAGCATCATAAATTTAAGAAATATAAATTGACTGGTATGACAGGAGATTTAGAATATTATAGAATATTAAGAAAGTTGGTGAAACAGGAAATTAGGACATCAAAAAGGATGTATGAGAAAAGGTTGGCTGAAATTGTTAAAATTAACAGTAAGGATTTCTTTAAACAAAACATTAGGACGGAGATAGGACCCTTGAGAGATTATAAAGGAAAGCTTGTATCTTATGATTATGAGATGGCTGGGTTATTAAGTTTTGCTTTTTTATTGGTTTTTACTAATGAAGATTTAAGCAGTATTCCACATCATGGACAGTTGATAAATGGAAATGAGATCAAACAAGGTGACTACATTAATTCTGATCTGGGAAGGTTTAAAAAAACGATAAGGCTCCTGGGCCAGATAATCTTTCCCCAAGGGTTTTAAAGGAGGTTAAAGATTGGATATGTGAGCCACTTGTTACTATTTTTTGTCAGTCCTTGAATAGTGGGCAGGTACCAGAGGATTGGAAGTTAGCTAATATAACTCCTCTTTTCAAGGAAGGTGATAAAAATTGTCCCAGTAATTATAGACCCATTAGTGTTACATCAGTTGTGGGAAAAATTTGGGAAGGTGTGTTAAAAGATGCTTTGCAAAGTCATGTAACAAAGTTTAGAATTTTATTGGATATTCAACATGGTTTCACTAAGGCAAAATCTTGCCTTACAAATCTTTTAACATTCTCTGAAAAGGTTACTGCTCATGTAGATGAGGGTAAGATTGTAGATTTGGTGTATCTGGATTTTCAGAAAGCATTTGACAAGGTGCCACATATAAGGCTTGTAAAAAAAAATTAGCTCTATGGGTGTGGGGGATAATTTAGCAAATTGGATAGAAGAGTGGCTGGATGGAAGAAAGCAGAGGGTTGTTACAAATGGAGTTCAGTCAAACTGGATTAATGACACAAGTGGGGTATTTCAGGGCTCAGTCTTAGGACCTTTGCTATTTTTCATTTACATTAATGACATAGATGAAGGGATAGTCAATAAATTACTTAAATTTGCAGATGATATTAAGGTATTGGTTGTTGTTAGCTGTGAAAAGGATGCTGTTGATTTACAAAAGGATTTAGAT